GAAGTTACATACACGCAAAGAGCACATTCGTTACAACCTGATATGAAATCTGTCTTATTTCTGCTACTGACCTTATTCACAGGGGGTGAAGCCTGGCTTTTCAAATGTGAGGTTTGGCAGGCAGGGGAGACAGGAAATCCAGAAGAGAACGAAAGAGTCTGTAAAAAGCTGGTTTCTTCCAGGCTTTTCTGCTTACATTCCACCCCACCTCCCCACCTCACATGTTAGAGGAAGAGAAGCCCCATCTTGGCACCTGGGTGGGGTGGCAGGGTTCACAGCATTTGAGATGCTCTTTAATGCTCATCTGTAGAATACATAAGCAATATGCATGTGGAAATTGGAATTGGAATGTGTTCCTGAGGCAAAGAGAATGGAGAGTAGGGGTTTTAACTGCTTTTGGAAGAAAGGAGAATGAAGTCAGCTCAACCAATTGATTCTTCAGGCTCTTAGGCAAGGGCCTTTTTCTTTCCTCTACATCCTGTGGAGATTGTCCAAGGGTCTGAGAGATCCAGTGTTGAGATTGCACTGTTAGGTCAACATCAAAAAAGTTATAAAAAATGAAAAGTCAGATGTATGTCCCTGTTGGCTAAGATAAAGAGGAAAATGACATGTTTAAGTTTTAACATTGATCTATAATGATAGACTGGGTAGTTAGGTGGTACAGTGGATAAAGTGCTGGGCCTAGAGTCAGGAAGACTCATCTTCCTTAGTTCAAATCCAGCCTCTGACACTTACTAGCTATGTGACCCTGGCCGAGTCACTTAACTCTGTTTGCCTCAGTTCCTCATCTGTAAAAATGAGCTGGAGAAGGAAATAGCAAACCACTCTAGTATCTTTACTAGGAAAACCCCAAATGGTGTCACAAAGAGTCGGACACAACTGACCAACAAAATAATGATATACTAAGTGGTGTGGCTTGAAATTGTATCTTTACATTTTGCCAACTATTCCATAGGTGTGTATTTTCTGGGAGAGTGATCCTAAATTTACTCTGATGGTAACCCAGCCTGGAAAAAGATTAAGTGAAGAGATAGTTACCAGAGGTGAAGCTGTGACAGGTATCTTTACCAACAGATTTAAGGGATAAATGTCTTTATGTACCTCTCCTATATGATTTTTGCTTCATCTCTTTCTGTGTAGTCATCTTTTTAGTAGTACTTTGGATTGATATCAATGCTCTTTTCTTTTCTTTCTTTTTTTTTTCCTTTGGTGGTATGGAGGTGTCTATATCTGTGATTTCATCAGATTCCCAATTGAAATTCACTTCACTGATGCAGATCAGGACTCATCTGTAATTTAGTCTTGGAGAGTTGCCCTGAGCAACAAGAGGTTAAGTGAATTTTTCATGGCAATGTAGCTACTGTATATATATACATATATATATGTATGTATGTGTGTTTGTGTGTGTATGTGTATGTATATATGCACATATATACACATATACACACATATATGTATACACACATACACACACATATGTGTGTGTGTGTGTGTGTGTGTGTGTGTGTGTGTGTGTGTGTGTGTGTGTATATATAGGTAAAGATTTGAACCAAGGTCTTCACTGTTTCAAGGCCAGTTTTCTATCTGTTATGCCATGCTGCCTGTCAGTACTCAATAGATGATCAATTATCCCACCCAAATACTCACCCCAGCCATCTCCTTGACATTTTCCCTGTCACATGCAACCCTTCTCTACCCTCCTTCCCCACCTCTTGCTGTGGAGATAGTATGTGAATCAGTATTACTACTTCTTCTGGAAAGGGTGTGTCAATTTACCCCACTCAACATTCCTATAAATTCCTAAATCAAAACACCCTTCCCTGGCTACCACTTCCTGTTAGATGTTGACTTCCCCTACTGGGTTGTAAACTCCTTGAGAGCTAGGATTGTTTGCATTTGCATGTTTATCCCTAGTTCTAAGCACAGTGCTGGGCACATAGTAATAAGTGTTTCATACGTGTTTTTCGTTCATTTGATCATTCATTCATTCATCATAAGTATTATTGAAAGACAGCATAACATAGTTGATGGAGAGCTGGTCTTAGAGTTGGGAAGAACTAAGTTCAACTTCTGCCTTTGATACATATTGGCTCTGTGTCTCTGGGCAAGACATTTACCTCTTAGTCCCCTCTAACAACTCTCTAAGACTAAAAACTGCAGTATAGCTACAGATATACATTGGCGGAGGGAGTCTCTTCATGAAAAGAATCCTACACTGATGTCTCAGATCCATACAAAAAAAAAGAGCAAAACACCCATAATTAACCATTATCAGTATTGCTGCTGTTGTACAGTTATTCTTTAACTAGCTTATTTAGGATTAAGGCAATGTCTTTGGAAGGATTGAATGAACATTGCATTTGGAGGAAATGATAATTTTTCAGAGCAGCCCTAGCAATGCTGAGGATTGTATTGCCAAAGGACCTTATTATGTATCTTTGAACAGGACCTGTGTGATCTGAGGCTTCAAACTTTTCTTGAGCAATCTGATCCCTCCAAATTATGTCATTTATTTTAATATTTGTCCTTTCCTTCTTAATGAAATGAAATAACTTGAAAAGAACAATTTCTTCTGTTTTTCATGTATACCATAATTCAAATAAAATAGCATCCATGGAGGCTTTCTGCAGAACCATCAGCAAAATGCTCCATCATGGGTCTCTATAAAAGATATCTGAAAATTTGTCCTTGGCTTAAGACTTTGAACAAAGTTTGAGAGTAACAACAAGGTCCCATTGTGCACAGAAATTTCTGTAAGGCAACATTCATTCAAGTGTTGATCTGTATTTCACAGTCCAAGAAAAACAACAGTTATTTATATAATTTTATCCATGATTCTGTTTTTTCCTATCCATCCCCTCTCACTGAATACCCCCTCCCCATCAAACCCTCCCACAAAGCTACAGCTGAAAACGTGGAGCTTGCAAAGGGAGGGAAGTACACATGCAGATGTTTTTGCTTTCTTTTGGTCATGACACAAACTAGATTGACAAAAACTTCTTCTTCTTCTTCTTCTTCTTCTTCTTCTTCTTCTTCTTCTTCTTCCCCTTCCTCTTCTTCTTTTGTGAAGAAAGGGCTATTTATATGTTTCACATCCCCATTATAATTTTGGAATAATCAAGTATAGGACACAACAATGAAGATCCATTTGTTCACAGCTAACTAAATCACAGAATCTAAGAATTGAAATATGTCCCTAAGTTTTTCCAGTCCATCAGTAGCTGACCAAGAATTCTTTCTACAACATGCCTGATGAGTAGTTATCCAGATTTTACTTGAAGACCTCCCGTAGAGGTGGGAGGTGGGGGATTCACTGCCTCCAGAGGCATCTCAGTTTGCCTTTAGATAGCTCCATTTATTAGTAAATTTTTTTATATCAACCCTAAAAATGCCTCTCTGAAAGTTTGATGTACTGTACCTCGTTCTGCCCACTAGGGCCAGGAAGAATGAAAATAATCCATCTTTCATATAACAACCCTTTGAATGCTTTAAGAGATTAAAGACAGCTAGTATTTTGTTCCCTTGCACCTTCCTCCACTCCCCCAGCTTCTCTGTTCTAAGCAAAATATTCAGTTCCTTCAACCAGTCCTCATATGTGATGATCCTGGTGGCCCTCCTCTGGAAGATTCCCAGTTTATCAATGTCCTTCTTCAAATGGGATGCCCAGAACTGAACACAACACTTCAGATGTGGGCTCATCAGGGCAGATTACAGCAGCACTATACTTCACTGGTTCTGGATACCATGCCTCTTTTGATGTGGCTTTAGATCACATTATAACTTTTGGCTGCCATATTGCACTACTGGCTCCTGTTGAATTTTAATGTGATCGCAGAGTTTTGTGGCTGTATGATAATATATAATACCAATAAATGCTCTGATAAAAACAAATACTTTAAGCATGTCAGCTAAAAAGCTTTATTGGAAGCCGAAGAATTGAATCATAACTTTTTGTATTGGCACAGATGGATGTGGGATTCTTTTGTGATTTTCAGTGATCCTCTAAGTGCATAAAATTATAATGCTGAATGGGAAGTTTCTACTAGGGAAATTTTAGCTAGAGTTATCTGTTCTAGAAGTGCCGTAATTTCATGTCCTTCAGACACCATACATTTGCCTTTGTATCCCCTATAGTGCTTAGCATATTGTCTGGTACAAAGGCAGTACTCACTCCATGTTTACTGAATTGAATTTTCATAACATAAAGAATCTACTTGATAAGGCACAATTTAACTGGACATACGGGTATTTGAAAGTTCATTAACAAAGATAAAAGATGTGAAGTTTGGATATTTCAGTGCCAGAAACAGAGATATAGGAAATCTCATGGAGGGGGACAGGAGAGGGAAGAATATGTACCTGCTACTGTTAGATTTTTCCATAATAATTACTGGGAAGTATATATAGGTTGTGCAAAGTAAGTTGGTGAATGGAGATAACTGTGTAGTACTGGGTCACATTTCTACAGTTTTAGCCTTAACAGAGGCTCTGAAATAGTTGAGAAGGTTGATGGGAGAGAGATTAGATTTATTGGTCATCTGCTACTACAGTATGTTTTTCACTAATGAAGATAAGTTTCACCTTAAAATGATGCAGAAGCTGTGTATGCAGTAGTTGTGTCTACACAGACAAAAATGCTTTAAAAAGAAAACATGGATAAAGTCAATCAATTACTTTGAAGATAATTTGATTGATTCAATTCATCTACTCCACATATTTGTCCCCACTTCTCCCTTTCTAAAAACAACTCCTGTTTTTGTGTATAGATGCAGTCTGAGGTATAAGATAGTTGTAAGAACTTGGCAGAACCCAAATAAGAAGCCCAAATGGTTAAATCTGACCCAGAGTTTTGCAAAGCATACCACAGGAGACAAAAATTAATAATTCCAAGCAGAAGGAAGATTAATTTTTATTTCATTCACAGACTCATTGGATACAGAGAGATGCCTTCTGAAATAATCTAAACCCATTCTTTAAATTGATTTATGTCTCCATTTCAGGATGAAAAATTTTCAAACCAACGATTTGGCCTTTTCTTCTGAGGAGGGTTATGGAGACAACAGCGGCCTGGCAGAATACACAGCGAATGCAATTGATTCATCAATTAACTGGAAGGATATTACCTGGCTGAAGAAATTGACAACCCTCCCAATTGTTGCCAAAGGCATCCTCCGAGGTTCATTTATTTCTTCACTTACAAGCATACAACCTTCGTAACTTTATGCAATGTAATTTTGGCTTTTTTTTGAAGGGGATATTGGCACATAGAAAAATGAAGATGAAAAGCAAGGAGAGGCTTTCCTGCTATTTAATGAAAGGTTCTTTATATTTATAATGACCCTGATCCCCCATAGTGGGGAAGCAGCATCAGGAGAATTACTTGGGTAGTCCTGTAAATAGCATGAACATTTTCAAGCCACTGGGGCATGGTTTCATTTAGCAAATTACTATTTCATCACCCCAAGTCATGAAATCTTCGGGCTAGTTAAGAGACCATGGGAAGGACTATAGCATCCATTCATCAGGCTAGCCTGCATATTAAAACTAAATGTTAAGACAGCTCAGACAGAGAGGGAATTTTAAACTCCCTCAAAAAGAACCTTCACACATTCAGTTGTACAGACAACTGAGAAAAGAAGTTTTAATAAGTGTGTGTGTGTGTGTGTGTGTTTGTGTGTGTGTGTAGAGGGGAATCACCTCCAAATGGTAGTCGCTAAATTATTGTTAAACACATCTAATATGTTTCTTTAAAAACAGAGGATTTAGGGGCAGTTAGGTTGTGCAGTGGATAGAGCACTGGCCACGGAGTCAGGAGGACTTGAGTTCAAATCCTACCTCAGACACATAACACTTACTAGCTGTGTGACCCTGGGCAAGTCACTTAACCAAAACAAACAAAACAAAACAAAACAAAAAAAAAAGCCCAACAAAACAAAAAAACATAGGATTTATTCCTGTTAAGACAAACTGGTTATCAGTCTTACTCCTGCAACCCATCCCTTATGCTCTCTCCCAGCTTTCCCTACCTCATCATAGTCAAGGCCTCATCCCTCCTTTAGCCTGAAATCTCTCCAACTTGTTCTGTTACCTAATAACTAGAACCAACAGGCACGTGTGGAAAATATAGTGACAACTTTTTTTTTCTTTTCTTTTCTTTCTTTCTTTCTTTCTGAATGAGAATTGATGACATATAAAGAGAATATTGGATCTTTAAGTACCTAAAGCATTCAGTCATTAGCTTCAAGTAGCCTTGGCTGCTCTCATAGGTCTCACAGCTTATTTAGAGCTGAAGGATATGAAATAATGGTTAATTTTAGAATAGCAATGTGTTTCAGTACTGATTTCTTAACTTCTAAACATTATCGTGTGTGTGTGTGTCTGTGTTCAAAAGAGTTCAAAGTTCGTGATAACTATGAAAGCTACATGCTCCCCAAAACATTTTATTAAACATTTTGAATTCATGACTATGAGGAAAAAACCATTAACTTACTGTAATGCCTTAAAAAAAGATCACTGGCAGAACTGTTCTTTATAAAAGCATTTTTTCTTTTTATTTCAATTAAGAAAAATCAATTTTCTTGTTACTTGTCCTCCACCACATTTGTCAATTGTCTATTGCTAACATTATTATTGTTATCCTCCATACCCACAGATATTTGTGGTTCATACTATATGATTATTAATACCTTCTCTAAGGTCTTTTTGGATTCTAACCTTACCTTGCAAAATTCTCTTCACTCACCTCATCCCCAGCCTGATTTGATCTGCAAAATAAATCAACAAATGATAAAATTAGTGCAATTCTAAAAGGCTTGATTTACTTCCATAAAGTTGTTTATATCAGAGAGGAACCTTTCCCTTAATAATCACAATGAAAAGGGTACTTTTGTTGCAGCCTAACATTTGCCTTCCTTAGAGAAGGAAGTTCCATGAGAAGAATGTCATCTCCATTTGTTCTGACCATGTTTAGGATTCCCATCTTATGTCATGCTGTGGAAACTTTCCCATTGCGTGACATAGGCTATGAGTCAAAAAGAGTGAAATAGATGTTCCTATCATGTGAGGTTGAAGAAATGCCTAGTATTCTCGACCTTTGCATTCTTTAGGTGGCCTTTGTGCCACCACCATCATCAATACAAATCCGTCTTCTCCTTTCTCCTCCCATACCACTTTTACTCTACTTCTCCTCCTGCTCCCACTTCCTCTCCCTCATTTTCCTCCCTTTGTTTTCTTCCCATCCTCTTTTTGTTGATGAAAATAAAATAAAGGAAAAATATCCCTTCTAAATGAATAAAACTATAATCAAAATTATCTAAATACCTGGATGGGTAAATAGATAGATATACAGATACATATATAGATTACTGCTAAACCTGTGATTTCTTTAGTTCAGGCAATATCTTCTGGTAGCAAAATTCCCTCTATTAATGCAGATAAACAACTGATAATAGCAGATAATGTAGATAAATAGCTACTATGCAATTTATGATCTTAGAGAGTTGCCTGTGGCATTGAAAAGTTAAGTGACCTCTCTAGATTCACAAAGACAGCATATACCAGCTAGAAGACTTGTTTGTTTTTTTGTTTTGTTTTGGGTTTTGTTGTTTGTTTATTTTTGTTTTGTTTTTTTGGCCAGGCAATGGGGTTAAGTGACTTGCCCAGGGTCACACAGCTAATAAGTGTTATGTGTCTGAGGTTGGATTTGAACTCAGGTTGTCCTGAATCCAGGGCTAGTGCTCTATCCACTGTGCCACCTAGCTGCCCAAGCTAGAAGACTTGAACAAAGGATTTCCTGGTTCTTAAGTCTGGCTCTTTATCCAGGATGTCACATTGCCTCACATGTATACTTGAACATATTTTAAGAGAGAGACAGAGAGACAGAAAGACAGAGACAGAAAGAGACAAAGAGAGAGAGAGAGAGAGAGAAAGACATTTTAGATTTGGGTGTTATGAAAGACATTTCAAAGACAGTGGGTGATGTTACGGAAATCCAGGGAAATGCAATTTGTATACATACCATTTACCCTGCAGCATCTTTGTATAACTATTAGTTTCTTTTATTTAATAAACAAAAAGCATTTCTATAGTAACAATTGCATCAAGCAACACATATGCTAATTTTGGACTTTAGGAAATCTGTTCTTGGGAATTCAATAATCCACATTTCACGGATTTATTCTTGCCTCATTAAATCCTTCTCATCCATATTTTCATTTACATTGACCAGAAGTTGCTCATCCTTTTATGAATTTACTTTGAACTATAAAGGTAAAGGTTATGTTTGCAGAAATATGGGATGACAGCTGGGAAGTTCTGGATGAAACACATCTTTTCCTTACCACCATTATATTTCCATGGAATGCAAGATACAATCTCTCTTGCTATGGTCAAATTCTGCTCTTTGAAAATTTCAACAAACTCCAAACATACACTTGAGGACAGGATTTGGCCTTCATTAGGCCACACACGCTAACAAACATTCCATTCTTTGGGCAAAGGCATAATAGTAGTCAATGTGAAAATTCCTTCCTTCCTTCCTTCCTTCCTTTTTTCCTTCTTTCAATCCTTCTTCCTTTCTTTTTTCCTTCTTTCCTTCCTGTCCATTGAACTTTTACTGGAGCTCCTTTTCTGAAGAACTTGTCTTGAATTCAATTCTTGATAAAACAAACAAACAAACAACATTTCCATATTAGCCATGGTGGAAAACAAAACAAAAAACAATTAAAAGCAAGAAACATAAAGAAAGTGAAAAAAAGTATGCTTCAATCTGCATTCAGAGTTCATTAGTTCTCTCTCTGAGGGTAGATAGCCTTTTTCATCTTGGGTCTTTTGGAATTGTCTTGCATCATTGTCCTGATCAGAGTAGCTAAGTCTTTTACAGCTGATCATCATTACAATATTGCTGTTACTGTGTTCTCCTGGTTCTGCTTACCTCACTTTGCGTCAGTTCATATAAGTCTTCCCAGGTTTTTCTGAAACCATTCTGCTCATCATTTCTTATAGTGCAGTAGGATTCCATTATAATCATATACCACAACTTGTTCAGCCATCCTCAATTGATGGCCATCCCCTCACTTTCTAATTCTTTGCTACCACAAATATTTTTGTACATATTGGTGGTGTTGTTTTTCAGTTGTTTCCGTTGTGTCCAACTCTTTTTGACTCCATTTGGGGTTTTCCTGACAAAGACATTGGTTTGCCTTTTCATTCTGTAGCTCCTCTTACAGATGAGGAACTGAGGCAAACAGGGTTAAGTGATTTGCCCAGGGTCACATAGTTAGTAAGGGTCTGAGGCTGGATTTGAACTCATGAAAATGAGTCTTTTTGATTTTAGGCCCAGCCCTCTATCCACTGAGCCACCTAGCTGCCACCAAATATAGGTCTTTCCCCCTTTTCTGTGATCTCTTTGGGATCAGACCTAGTAGTGGTATTACTGAGTCAAAGGGTATATACAGTTTTATAGTTCTTTGGGCATAGTTCCAAATTATTCTCCAGAATTATTGGATCAGTCCACAACTCTACCAATAGTATATCAGTGTCTCTATTTTTCCACATCCCCTCCAGCATTTATAATTTTCCTTTTCTGTTATGTTAGCTAATCTAATAAATGTAAAGTAGGTGTGAAAGAGTTCTTTTAATTTGCATTTCTCTAATCAATAGTGATTTAGAGCATTTTTTTTGTATGACTATTGATAGCTTTGATTTTTTTTTCTTCTGAAAACTGCCACTTATATCTTTTGATAATTTATCAATTGGGGAATGGCTTTTATTTTTACAAATGTGACTCAGTTTCTTATATATTTAAGAAATGACATCTTTATTAGAGAAATTTGAATTAAACCCTCCCCCCACCCCCATGGTTTTCTCCTTTTGTTCTAATTTTGGCTACATTGGTTTTGTTTGTGCAAAAATTTTTAAATTTCATGTAATCAGAATTATCTATTTTTCATCCTGTGATCCTCTTTGTTTCTTCTTTCATCATAAACTCTTCCCTTATCCATAGATATGACAGATATAGTTTTCCATGCTTACCTAGTTTACTTATGGAATAACCCTTTATATCTAAATCATTTAATTATTTTGGCCTTATTTTGCTTATGGTGTGAGTTGTTGGTCTATGCTTAGTTTCTGCCAAACTCCTTCTCAGTTTTCACAGCAATTTTTGTCAAATGGTGAGTTCTTGAATTCACTTCTTGAAAACATTGATCTTTGCATTCTAATATGTATGTATTTTAAAATTTATGGATGTGTGCATGTGCATGTGTGTGTGTGTGTGTGTGTATGTGTGTGTATACACACACATACACACAGAATCACAGAATTTCTGAGTTGGAAGGGATATCTTTGAGGACAACGAGTCTGACCTAAACAGGAACAAAGTACCTTCTGTAACATCCCTGATGAGTGATAATCTAGACCTTACTTTAAGACCTCTAGTGAAGGGGACTCCATTACCTCCTGAGCAGACTATTATATTTATATAGTGCTAATTGCTTTGGAAATTTTCCTTGCAATAGATGGATATTTGCTTCTTTATAATTACTACCCATTTTCCTGGTTCTGCCTTTAGGGGCCAACCAGGAAAGGTAGACCCTCTTCTGTGTGACAGTCTTTTCAGATATTTGAAGGTTGCCATTATCCTCTTACCTAAGTTTTCTCTTTTCTTGGCTAAATATATCTCTTCCTGTGAACTGTTTTTTTCCATATATCATCAATGTTGCATCCATGCAATGTTGCTCAAGTATTTTGAAAGAACAAAATTTCAATTCTTTTTCAATTCAATACATATTTAGATTACGTACTATGTACTAGGCACTGAGTAATCAAATGACAAAAACAAAACAAAACAAAACAATTGTTGCCTCACCTAGCTTTCATTCTACTAGGGACTACAACATAGATGATAGATAGATAGATAGATAGATAGATAGCATCTGCCACACAAGGTTATGAAGATTGATTCAATTAACATTTAGAAAGTACTTTGCAAAAACCTTAAAGCACTATATAAATGATAGTTATTACTATTATTATGGAGACCTACTTGTATTTGAATCCTGCCTCTGATGCTTACTACCTATGTGACTTTGGATCTTAGTTTCTTTATCTGTAAAATGAGGGGCTTCAACTAGATGGTCTCTGATGACACTTCTTCTGCATCTCTGATCCTCTATGAAAGGTTGAGAAGTGGATTGTGAAGAAGTAGAGATAGTATAAGTATTCCTCTTGAAGAGTTTGGCAGAGAAAGCAAATAGAGATTTTGAATGAGAGCCTGAGGGAAAGGAAGGTGTTTTTAAAAGATAGACTTGTATATGTTTTTAATCAGGAGGGAAGAAACAAGTAGGTAAGGAGAAACTAAGGAAAAGAAAATGAAAAGGAATGAAGGATGGGGCAAATTCCTAGAGTAGAGAGAATGGATTAGGAAAAAGAGGACAACTAGAGGAATTAGCCTAAGCAAGGAGAATACCTCTTCATCAAAACTTGAAGCAAAGGCAGAGAGGATGGGGGTAAGATAAAGAGCTTTGTAGAATATTCAGAATCATACAATCACAGAACCTCAGATGTGAAAGAGATCTCAGAGGCCATCTAGTGCAACCCACACTTGACTAGGAATCCCCCTTACTACATTCTTGATGTGAACATTCAGCCTTTTCTTGAAAAACTTCGATGAGCCATTACCTCTTGAGGACGCTCATTTTTTACTTTTGGATAATTTTAATTGTTAGGAAGTTGTTCCTTATGTAGCTCTGGTATGGCATGCAATATGGCCCCCGCACCATCTTTACTCTACGGGCTGACTCAGTCATTCCTAACCAGCACTCACAATGGTAGTTCTGGAGGATTTCCTGGGGGACTGTGCTAGTCAGGAGTGATCATTTGGCTACTACTCAGACACAGAGTCCCAGGTGTAAACTTGGTGTGGAGGGAATACACTTCTACTATTTGCCACTGTAGCTCTTTGCATCTCACTAATGTGCTCCCCATCTATATACAGTCACAATGACACCACTGAATCTTAAACATGAAATGTTTAATAAGCAATAAGGCACAAACAATAATAATTACAACATTTACTCAGTAAAAGGCAAAAACAAGGATAATTTAAAAAATATAACAATCCACTAAAAAACCTGGATCATAGTAACTCATCAGTGTATTCAGTGTCTGTGGGGAAGAGTGAGCCTACATTTACTGAAACCCTAGCAAGGAGACACGTGACTAGGGAAACTCATGTTCCTGGGATAACCACGACACAGATTGATAAACCTTGAAGTCCTTGGTCTCTTAAAAAAATAACACAAAAACATCTGTACCATGCATCACCTCCTGGCTAAAACTGCTTCTCTGTTACTCTTAGGCCACTGGTATTGTTGAGCTCTTTTAGTGCATAGCTATCCATGGCAGGGTACTGAGAATGGGTTATAATCTTTTAGCAAAATATAGCAGCATAGCTCCAAGAAAAAACAGCTGCAAAGTTTGTCTTTCTCCTTCTTCTATCCCGTCCCCCTCTCTTAAACTATCATGGGAAGTAGAGTGAGAGTTTTCCCCAATCTCAAATTGCATATGGCACTAGGGGAAACTTAGCCCAGACAGCTCTTCTCAGTGTATCAGACAGAATACAGCTCTCCTACAGTGAGTTTGCAGTAGCTTCAGAGCTTTTGTAGCTTAATAAGCCCTCTTTTCTTCAGACAATCAGCTCTCAGTAAAGCAATGTCTCTCTGCCAATCAGCAAAACTCTTAAACACCTGAAGAGCCTGTCTGTCAGCTTTTAGGAGTCTTGTAGTTTCTCAGGCTTCTAATCTCTGGCTTAATCTGATTCCTCTCTCAGCTTCTTTCACCCTCCTGTGTTCTGATTATCTTTCTCTCCCCTCTAAAACCTCAAAGCAGATCTTATATCATCGCCCCATGGTTCCCAAACAGTGAATTTGCAGTTTTGCAGTTACAACTTTCAAAATTCTGAAATCAGTCAATGAGTCTATATACTACAATGTTTTGCATCCATTATCACATAATTTCGTGCTCTACTTTCAAACAGGTCCTCTTAGTCAATGCATTTATCTGCAAAACAGTTTTCTCTGTAGTCCTCAGAACTGTCTGTTATCTCTCCTCAAGTATTTGTCTGGTTTGGGGGGGGGATGAAGCTGTGCTTCTTCTCAAGTTGATTTTATCAGTGCTCTTTACACAAATATTTTTTCTGCCCTTATTCGCAACCAAAATGTCCAAATAACAATGGGGGCACTGTCTTACTCTTTAGATCAAGCCTAAATTTACCGATCTGTAACTTTCACTCATTGCTACTAGTTCTGTTCTCTGAGGCCAAACAAGTGTAATCCCACTTCCTATTTGACTGTGTTTGAAATACTTGAAGGTAACTTTTCTATTCTCCTAAATTCCATTCATTTTTATTGACACTTTTAATCTTGTCAATTTATTTCAACGTAACTGAATAATTATATCAAGTGTGGGGGTCATTATTGCAACCATATATACATGTATATGTAGGTATATACATGCATGCATCTATGTTCTTTTGTTTAATCCTACATAATCTGCATATTAGAATTATTCATTTGGAACTTTATTATACTATATTGACTATTGGCAAAATTGAAAAGCATGCAAATTCCACAAGGAGCATCGTCCATTAATGCTCTTCTTTAAGATGATGCAAATTCTGACCTTATATTTGTTAAGAGCATCATCCCTACTGTGGTTCTGCCACCTCTATTACAGGAGTTTTGCAAATGGTGTACAGTCTTCATCATTGGAAGAATTAGTTTCGCTGATGAGATCCAACCCATCAGATCCAATGAGTAGTTATGAAATGCTTCCTATGCAATAGCTACTGTGATCAGAACTAGGGGTACAAAGACAAAAGGAGCCAGTCCCTACTCTCAAGAAAACTTATCTTTTGCTGGGGGGGGGTGTGGGGGAAGGATACAAGATCCATTAAATATATATATATATATATGTATATATAGAGGTAAGAATTTTAAAATCTATGCTTCAGAAATGCTATTTAGATTTTTTAAAATAGAAACCAGGTAATTTACTACAGTATCCTCAGTTTAGCTTTAATTACTGAACTGCTGCATCATGTTTTTCTAGCTGATGATGCCAGGGAAGCCGTGGAATATGGTGTCAATGGGATATTGGTGTCCAATCATGGTGCTCGCCAACTGGATGGAGTGCCTGCCACTGTGAGTACCAATAAAAAGTGATTGGAGTATGTATTGCAAATATTTCTTTCAAAATTTTCATTGTGCTTACAATTTTATCCATTTTTTTATCTGTCTGGTTTGATCTTGGTCTGTCTTTTTGTGTATTTGTGTGTATGTGTAGCCATCAAATAATGATCCATGTGTAAACATATATGCCAAAGGGTTTTAAACCCACGTACTTACTAGTAAAAAATATTATGTCATTAGGCTATACTCAGCTCTTAATGAACTATTTAGTCATGCTAGCTGGTCTCTAAGGTTCATTCTCACTCTGAGGTCCTATCTGATTAACTAACTTTTTTGTGGCTTGAGTAGTGACCTGGGAGGTAGGAGACCTATATTCTACCATTAACTAACTGTAATCTTGGGTAAATTGCATACTTCTCTATACTTCAATATTATCATCTGTAAAAACAAGGGAGGTAAAGTTATTTTGATCTCTTAGGTGACTTTCAGTTCTACAATTCTGTGATTTTTAGCCAAAGTGAAATAGAAAATATTTGCCAAATTTACCTTAAAGTGAATTATTTTTTTCTTAAGTAATCTGAATTGGTCTCTGCATTTAGCTAATGATCCCCTTCTCATCCTTTCTTTAAGTACATATTAACTGTTCTTTGCCTGTGATTAGTGATTTGATGATTTTGACTATTGGCTAGTAAATTAACTTTAACAAGTAATCTAGTCAGTTGCATCTGATTCTACCCTCTTCTACCACTCTCTCTTCCTCACAAGTGAATTGACTGGTTGATTTGGTCAAAATGGTCCATCCAGTGGTTTGTGTGGTCAGAGTCATGGTCCCAAGTATCATTTCATGCACAGATAAATGAGATGTAGATACTAAGACTCTTGTTTGCTCTAGGACCTTATAACAGGTCATGAGCACTCAGAAGAGACCTACTGGGTCTCTGACACATAATATAGAATTAAGTGGTGTCAAACTGAAATAGGAAGTGATCCTTTCAGGCCACATATTGACTTAGAAAACCACAAAGTAACATTATCTATGTTTTATTTTATTATTATTTATTTTGTTAAATATTTACCAATTATATTTTAATCTGGTTTGGTTGGTACCCTTTGCAGACTGAAAATTTGACCCTTGGGGCAGTGAGGTAGCATAATGGATAGAGTGCCAGGCCTGAATTCAGAAAGAATCATCTTCATGAATTCAAATCTGGCCTCAGACACTAACTAGCTGTGTGACCCTGGGCAAGTTTTCCTCAGTTTCCTCATCTGTAAAATGAGCTAGAGAGGGAAATGGCAAACCACTCCAGTATATTTGCCAAGAAAACCCCAAATGGGATCATGAAGAGTCAGACGTGACTGAAAAATCCATGAACTGAACTGAAGTTTGATACTTCTGGTATAGATCATAAGATTATAAGATCCCCAGCTGGAATATAAAGTCTTTGAAAACCAAATGTTTTATTTTTGTTTTGTTTTGTTTTGTTTTTTCTCTCCCTTTAGCACCTAGAAGAATTCAATTTAATTCAGGAAACATTTATTTAACACCTACTATGTGCTAGTCATTGTGCTAAGTACTGGAGATACAGATAAGAAAAAGAAAGTCCTTGCCCTCAAGAAGCTTAGATTCTAATCAGGGAACACAACACACAAAAGGCAGCTTAAGGAGGGATGAAGGGAAGAAAAGGTACTAGGTGGAGGGGTATGAAAAGGGTGGAGTTGAATCTAGGAGTTCAGCTGGTATGAAATGGTTGGGCTGTGAACTCTCTGAACCATCTCTAAATGGAGACTCAGTGCCAGGAAATCTTTTGTTGTTGTTGTCGTATTTTAATTGTTTCAGTCACGTCATGACCCCATTTGGGGTTTTCTTGGTAGATACTGGGGTGGTTTGTCATTTCCTTCTCCAGCTCATTTTACAGATGAAGAAACTGAGGCAAACAGGGTTAATTGACTTGCCCAAAGTCACACAGGTAGTAAGTGTCTGAGGATAGATTAAACTCAGGAAAAGGAGTCTTCCTGACTCCGGGTCTGGCACTCCATCTAGCTATCTATACACCCAGTTAATCCTTCTAGGCCACCTTCAATTGATTGCATACTTAGTTTTTAAGCAAAGTGCCCAGAGATTAACACAGTTCCTGGGGCACTGTAAATGTTTGATATAAGCTTGTTGATTGATTGATTGATTGCTACCTACTTTATGTCCAGTGTATGCTAAGTACTGTAGGAAATTATGAAGACATCTATGGAACAGAGCATGTAAAATGATTAATATGGAAACCAAAAAGATCTTATAAGCAAATCAGGAAATCCTAACCCTTTATTGTGTCCTGGACCCCTTTGGCAGTCTGGTGAAACCTATGGAGTCCTTTTTGAGAGTAATGCTTTCAAATACATAAAATACAGAAAATTCTAAATAAGTCTAATCATATTGAAATATAATTATCAAAATATTTTTAAAAATCAAGTTGGCAGAACCCTTGTGTTATAAACTATATGTCTTCATAAGTTAGAATGTACTGAAAAACCTAATAAAATGAAATGGAATAGGAATAAATGTGAGTTCCAGAAATTAACCTTGTAAGTATATGACAGGGTAGATAATCTATCTCAATGTGTTTTCATGGATTGCAAATATATATCAATAGTTATCATATGATCTTGTATCATGTCAACTATCATAAATAGTTATCAATATCTATCAAGTGTGATATGGTACCCACAAAAGCTGTCATGTGAGGCTATGCTAAGAGAAATAAAATATCTAGAACCAAGGCGGTGCTAGTCATTTCCGTTCTGCCCCAGTAACATCCTGGAGAACTGCATTACTTTCAGGAGCTACATTTTAGGAAAGACCTTGATAACCTAGAGAGGGTCAAGAAGAGAACAGCCCCAAGTCATGTCATATGAGGATGGATAGAAGAAACCACTAGTAGTTAACTTGGAAAAAAAGGTATTGTGGCCACTAGATGGAGCCATGGATACTCTGGAGGCAGGAAGAACTGAGTTCAAATCTAGTATCAGATACTTACCAACTGTTTGACCCTGGGCAAATCACTTAATTGCTGTCTGCCTCAGTTTCCTCAACCATAAAATGGGGAATATAATAGCATCTATCTACCAAAGTTGTTGTGAGGATCAAATAAAATATTTGTAAAGTACTATGCAGGTGCTGGCTATTATTGTGTGATAGCTGGTATCAAGTATTGTAATGGCTGACTCCTGGAAGAATGTTTAGATTCATTCTTTTTTGGCTCCAGAGCACAGAACTAGGAGTGATGGGTGAAAGTTGCAGAGACAAATTTAGTCATGATATAAAGAGGGGAAAACATACAATTATAGCTCGTTAAAGGTGGAATCAATGGAATCAATTACCATGAGAGGTAATGCATGTTTACTCTCACTGAAATTCTTCAGGTAATAATAATAATTAATACCCTTGTTTGTCTTTCGTTCTTTGAAGAGGTCCATGACATCAGGAAGGTGATTCCATGACATGGAAGTAAATTGGATTTAAGGAGGGAGGACTGTGCAAGGTCACCAACCTCACTTTCTCCTCCAAAGCCATCTGGGTCCAGTGGCAAGATATAGATCAGGATGACTGGAGTCCCCTAATAATTAATAGTAATAATGATGATAATAACTAATGTTTATATAGTGCCTACTATGTGCCAGGTACTATGTTAGGGCTTTGCAATCATTATCTCCTTTGATCCTTACAACAACTCTGGGAGGTAGATGTTGTTATTATCCCCATTATACAGATGAGGAAACTGAGGCAAACAGAGGTTAAGTGACTTGCCCAGGGTAACACAGCTAGTGAGTGTCTGAGGTTGGATATCACCTCAGGTTCTACTGACTTCAGGCCCAGCACTTCATCCACTATACTACTAGTCAGGGATGTTGTAGAGAGGAATCTTGTTTAAGTAAAAGTTGAATGAGATGGACTGTGATGTCTTTTCAAACTCTAAGATTAGTCTATATTTCTGTGAGCTCTGAAGGTTACAATCTTGTGGGGAAATGACATTATAAAATATAAGAAAGAGGATAAAATTAGGACAGAGACTTTCTTTTTTGAAGCCTCAGTGCCTAGTCAGTGCCCAACACATAGAAGTAATGAATAAATGCTTCTTGAATTGGATTGAAAAGTACACAGCCTATACACAATGAATGCTATGGAGGTCAGGAAGGAGAAATGGTATTGGGGAAGATTTTATTAAAGGGTGGGACTTGAGCTGTCTCTTGATGTAGGAATACCCTTTAAGTGTCCCTTAATTCTATAGTAATAATTGCTAGCATTTATATAGTACCTTAAGGTTTACAAGGTGCTATATGTATATTATCTTATTTGATCCTCACAATAACCCAGGGAGAGAGTTAGGATTATCCCCAGTTTTTAGAAGAGGAAACTGAGGAAGACAGAATTTAAACAATTTGCCCAGGGTCACACAACCAGTAAGTGTCCAAGACTGGATTTGAACACAGATTCAAATTTCCTGATTCTGGTCAGGTCCAGTACTTTATCCACTGTACCACATATCTACCTATAGCATTTTCTTGGATAGCCATGTAAAGACTATATTGAAGAGTCTAAAACCTAAACTCAAAAAGGTTTTCTCTCATACCTTTGGGAAGTGAAAGCAAAGGAAACACCAGACTCTTGCCGTAGCTTATTGATACCTGGCATATATAGGGCATTGGAAGGTAAGAAAATAGAATAGAGATATAAAATAGTGGATTTATGTTGAATTTATTTATAGTCTGTCTCACTGAAAATTATACAGCACAGCAAAGGTACATCTAGTAGAATTCCAGCTCCATCTCTATAGTTGAAAATGCCAGGCCACAGATAAAACCTTCTATCCCATAGATACACGACACCAATCTGGACTTAATTTTGTACCACAAGGTTCATGTCATAAATGTCTTTCCTAGGTCATTTTTAGGCCATATTCAGTGTTTGAAATAACCTAAACAGACTATTTGATAAGCTTTGAAAATGTGCATTGAACCCAAGCTGGTTAATATTTTTCTTGTTTCTCCTTACAAATTGGGGAAATGTGCTTAATTACAGCTTGCATCATAGTTTGGAAATTGTAGCACTTATATGTTGATGTAATTTGCCTGAATATATGAAGAAAGCGGTGTATATGTAAATTGATCCAAAGTATGTTTGGCAAGGTAGCAAAAACCAAATGGGAAAGGAGAGAAACTCACATTACATGCCAAACCATTCAGGGCTATGGGCCAGATTCTACCCTTATTCACTCCATGGTGGAAATCTGTGGCCAAATTCAACCCTCAGTTCCTTTCAGGAAACTCTCCTAGAGATTATCCCACCAACCCTAAACTTGAATGTAAAGGAAATGTTGATGCTTTTTGTTCCTAGGCCATTACTCTTCTGTTTTTTGTTTTTTTAAAAAGGAAATTGTTTTACCCTTGACCCTAAACCTGCATTCCTGTGGCCTGCTGCTTTCACCTAAAGTCCTGGTCTGATGGGATCAGCAGCCTTTGGGTGGCCTTGAGCAGGGTTCCCTTTAAATGGACAGATGATATAACATTTTCTGTCTTGCCTTCACAGATTGATGTCCTGCCTGAAATTGTAGAGGCTGTGGAGGGAAAGGTGGAGGTGTTCTTGGATGGGGGTGTACGTAAAGGAACGGATGTGCTGAAAGCCCTTGCTCTTGGGGCCAAGGCTGTATTTGTGGGGAGACCCATCATCTGGGGATTGGCTTATCAGGTAATTGAGTAATTAGATAAACAAATGTCTGGTATGAACAAGTCAGACTAAATCAACTACTTCCCTCTCTTTCATTTATTAAGGGGGAGAAAGGAGTGAAGGAGGTTCTGGAAATGCTGCGAGAAGAATTCCGGTTGGCCATGGCTCTTACTGGTGAGCTCTTAAGTCTTTCATCAAGTCAGTCAGTAGCATTTATTGTGACCTTTGCTGAATTTTGAACACTATAGTGAGGCTGCTTTTATGTTGCAATGGATAGAGCGTAAGGCGTGGAGTCAGGAAGACTTGAGTTCAATCCAACCTGAGGCACTTACTAGCTGTGTGACTGTGGGCAAGTCACTTAACCCCTGTCTGCTTCTGTTTCCTTACCCAGAAAGCAGGAGTAATAATAATGCCTACCTCTCAAAGTTGTCATAAGGATCACATGAGGTCATATTTGTAAAGTACTTCACACAGTACCTGGCACATAGGTACTTCATAAATGCTCAGTTCCTTTCCCTATACTAGGCATCTTGGAAGAAGATGGAAAAACATGGTCTCTGTCCTTTAGGAGCTGGTAATGTATTTGTAATACAGAGCATACTCTTATAACTAAAAAGGACTGACCACATACTTACTGAGTGATTTCTATATGTAGGTATTATGATAGACATGTGCCAAAATGACCTACAAGCATTCTCTGTTCACAAATAGCTTGCATTTTAGTTGGAGAGAAGGAAAGGAGGGAATGACAAGGTAAAGGAGCAACCTGGAAGTTTTTTTTCTTTACAACTGCTATGAGTTATTTGGACCATTCAGTCAGGTCCATTGGGAAGACAGCTGACTCTCTAGCATCCCCCCAAGTGCATTTCCCTTTAGGGGAAGTCTCAAACACAGAGTGGCACTATAATAATCTTGTTCTTGGGGGAAGGTGGGTGGTAAGGGAAGTTATATTGGCTGTTTATAGGCTCTTGAGATTCCACTGTGTGTGTGTGTGTGTGTGTGTGTGTGTGTGTGTGTGTGTTTTCCATTCTTTCTTTGGGCTGAAATAAAGATTATAGGATCTTAGACTTAGAATTGGAAAGGATTGCAAAGGTCATCTAGTCCAACTCGTTTATTTTATATGTAAGAAAGATGAGGACCAGAAAAATTAAATGAATTGTCTGGGGTCACAGAGCCAATAAGTGTCTTAGAGGGGATATGAATCCAAATCTAGTGCTCTATCTACTAAAACCTACTGCTTTTCATATACAGGTTGTCCTGAATCCCCCCCTCTTCACCCCCGTTTCTCTCTCTCTCCATATATACACACACATATATATGCATGTACATATACACACATATACATACACATACATACACACATACATATTCATATATACACATTGCATTTCTACTGGAACCCAGGGCCCTTTTGCCATTTTTAGAGACATACACAAACCATGTTCTTTTTTTAAAAATTTATGGAATAAAGCAAGATTTCTATAACACAGCATAATTAAAAAAAGATGATTGCACATGAAACTGCAAATCCATTATGTACAACTTGCTATTCCTTTTAAATAGATATTCTGAGGTGTTTATAATAGACCTTGGGTGAGGACAGAAGCCAAATTCTGAATCTCCACAGGGAAACCTCAGGTCAGAGGGGACATGAATCAAATTGATATTTATGAGAATTCCTTCTAGATTGAAACCAGTTCTTGAGAACCCATAGCTTGAGTTTCTGAGCTATAGGTTACATCTATAGTCAGTCAATTGGTTTATCAATAGGCATTTATTAAATGTGTACTATTGTGCCAGGCACTGTGTGAAGCACTAGGAATACAAAGAAAGGAAAAAAAAGTCTCTATCCTCACAGAACTTTCAGACTAATGGAGGAAACAACAGACAAATGATTATATACAAACAAGATATGTACAGGAAAAATTGGGGGTGGGTCAGAGGGCTGATGTTAATATTAAGGAAGGCTTCATGCAGACGATGGGACTTTAAGCTGAAACTTGTAGGAAGCCAGAGAAGCCAAGAGGCAGAGATGAGGAGGGAGAGTCTCAGGAATGGAGGACAGGCAATGAAAATGCTCAGAGATGGAGTGTCATGATCCAAGGTGTAAGAAGACTTGAAAGGTAGAAAGGAATCAGGATATAAAAGGCTTTACAAGTCAAACAGGAGATTTTATATTTGATCACGGAGCTAATAAGGAGCAACTGAATTTGATTAAATAGGGGACTGACTTGGTCAGAATTGCACTTTTGTTGTTGTTTCAGTTGTTTTCAGTCATGTCCAACTCTTTGTGACACTATTTGGGGCTTTCTTGGCAAAGATACTGGAGTGGTTTGCCATTTCCCTTCTCCAGCTCATTTGACAGAGGAAGAAACTGAGGTAAACAGGGTTAAGTGACTTGCCCAGGGTCACACAGCTAGAAGTGTCTGAGGCCAGATTTGAACTCAAGAAGACAAGTCTTTCTAACTCCAAGCCTAGCACTCTACTTAGTATACCAGGGAGTCGCCCCGCAGAATTGCACTCAAGGAAAATCAGTTTGACAGATGAGTAGACAATGGACTGGAATGGGGAGAGACTTGAGGCAGAGACCAACCAGTAGAATGTAGGAGAAGTTTTGAGAATGTCTAGGAATAGTAGGTTCCTAGGAGTACTTCACCTTCTGATAAATTTTTTTTTTTAATGGGGCTTGTTTTCATTTTAAAAATCTTTTTGGGAAGTTATCTCTAATTTCATTTTAGTTACTTAATTCCCCCCCCCCCCCCTTTTTTTTTTTTTGGAGGAGCATGAGGGAGGCTGGACGTGCCTTGGCAGAGAGACTTCAAGATATACTGGATATAGCACTCAGCTTGAAGTCAGGAAGAAATGGTTTCAAATCTTGCCTCTAATACTTACTAGCTATGTAAACTTCAATAAGTCATTTAAGGGGAAGGGAACAAATATTTATTAAGCTTACTATGTGCCAGGGTTAAGTAACTTTAGAAATTCTATTTCATTTGATGCTCACAAGAACCCTGTAAGGTTGATGCTATTATTATTCCCATTTTTCAATTGAGGAAACTGAGGCAAGTAGAAGTTAAGTGAATTGTTAAGTATCATATAGCTAGTAATTTCCTAAGGCCAAATTTGAAATCAGGTCTTCTTTAGTGCTCTATCCATTGTGTCACTTAGCTGCCTATGATCAATGTCCTTCTCTGGAAGATGAGGATAATACAGCTATGTTACTAATACATTGTCTCCCAAAAGCCTTTTTGAGAGACTTTGTGTGTGTAAAATGCCTTCTAAATATTAAAGTTCTACCTAAACGTACAAATTATTGCTGTTGTTGGGGAGTTGACACATAAAAATAAAGCAATAACTAAAAATGCAAGATAATGTAAAACAGATCAGTTGAGTGGGGCAGAAAATAAATGTGCTTTAGTAGTAAAAAAAGGAGGAGGTGGCAAAATCTTTTCAGTAGTTCTATAAAGGAAATGGGCCTTGAGTTTGGTCTTCAAAGATCCTCATCTTTGAAAAGTCCCTGAAAAAGTCCCTGAAAAGAAGAGGAGAAGGAAGAAAGAAGAAGGATCATATTATGTGAAGGAAATGTTTGTGTAATGACAAGGAAGAAAGAAGGCTTTTGTCACAATCATTATGCAGTTCAATCTAGCTTGAGCTATAGTTGATAAGACTGGAAAGGTTGGTTGGTATTAAATAGGGGGAGTTGACAGAATTGCAAGTTAAAGTATTTGGAAAGCTGGAATTCACATAAGTGTCTGAACAAGGTTGAGATGATGATTTTTTAAAATGAAAGTCACTCTGGCAACCAGTGTAATATAGATGATAAAGAACCAAAGTAAAGTGGTAGAAGCAGGAATGAAAAGAAAAAGACAGAATCAAAATGTATTATTTGGTAAGTCAGTGAAAAAAACATTTTTGAAGCATCTACTATGTGCCAGGCACTGTGCTAAGTACTGGGGATACAAAAAGAGTCAAAAGACAGTCATTACCCTCCAGGAGCTTACAATCTAATGGAGGAGATAACATGCAAACAAATGTATGCAAATGAGTGATCTACAAGATAAATGGAAATAAATAAGAAAGGGAAAGCTCTGTAATTAAGAGGGGTTGGGGCAGTCTTGTAGAAGATGGGATTTTACTTGGGATTTAAAGGAAGCCAGCAGATGGAATGGGGGAAGGGAGAGCATGATAGGCATGAAGGACAACCAGAGACAATGTCTGAAGCTGAGGGTTGGAGTGTCTTGTTCATGGAACAACCTGGAGGCCAGCATCACTAGATTGAAGAGTTTTTGTTGGGGAGTAAAATATGATAAGACTGGAAAGTTAGGAGGGGATTAGGTTATAAAGGACTTTGAACACCAAACAAACGATCCTGGAGTTGATAGGGAGTTTATTGAGTGAGGGGGTGGGTGACATGGTCAGATTTGTGCTTTAGGAAAATCATGTTAGTGGCTGAATGGAGGATGGAATGGAGTGGAGAGAGACTTGAGGCAATCAGACCCACCAGCAGGTTACCGCAATAATCCAGGGCATGAGGTGATAAGGGGTTGCATCAGAATGGTGGCAGTGTCAGAGGAGAGAGAGACATCTTTGAGTTATACTGTAAAGGTAATATTGACAGACTTTGGCATCCTTTTTGATATGGGGCAGGGGGTGAGAATAAGAGATAGTGAGAGGTCAAGAATGATTACTAGGTTGACAGCATAGGGACTCTATAGTAATAGGGAAGGTAAGAGGAAGAGAGGATTTAGGGGGAAAAGATAATGAGTTCTGTTTTTACTATATTGAGTTTAAAATATCTACTGGACATCTAGTTTGAGATATCTGAAAGACGGTTGGAGATGTGAGATTGGAGTTCAGCAGAAAGTCTGGGGCAGGATATGTAGATTTGAGACTCATCAACATAGGAATAGTGTTTAAATACATGGGAGCTGATGAGATCCCCAAGTATCTCTGGCATAGAATAAATAGTTTCTACTTTGCAGTTGATATTCATATGTGGCTTACCCAAAGGTATAGTATGTTAGCTGTTTCCTATAGATCCCCAAGTGAAAGAAATACTGAAACATTCAATTAGAATTTGTGAAATGCTTGTTGAATATACTGAAATAATTATCACTTTTTCCATAACCAGAAGCTAGAGTAGGAACAGAATATGGCTTCTTCTGTGGTCCCCTACTATTTTCTTCTTTCATTCTGAAATTATCCTGAGTTACTGATTCAGAACAGGTTTAGTGTGCCTCTATACAAGGAAGATGAAACCAATTATTGAGGCAATTATCCAGATAATTCCATTCCTAAAACAATGTAACTAAGGAAGATGGCAGGTTTATTGTTTTTTTTTAAATTTGTCTTTATGACCCAGATTGTCTACATTGATTGAATCTTTGACATGACTGCTTGACTCTCCATTGCATTTTGCCTGTGTAGACAGTCTCTGAGGGAAGAATGACACCCTGTGAATCATCACCCTGAGTTTTCCTTTGCTACAGAGACAGATCCTAAAGGAAGGCTTTCAGTCCCCAAAGATCTATTAAACATGGCAGAAAGAATATACTCTTTGTGTTAATAAAAATATGTGCCAGTCATTTCGTGTTAAGGACTGTTTAGGTAATAAAAATGGTCTCATGCCACATAAGAGTTGGCAGGCCTACCTTGAACCATAAACTTTACATTAGTCAAGTTTTACATTCCTTGGGAAAACCATTACCCAACTGATTATTATTGCATTTATTTTATATTAAATGTATGTTTTATTTTTTCAGGGTGCCGGAATGTAAAAGACATTGACAAGACATTGGTGAGGACAAATCCATTGGTTGTTTCCAAGATCTGACAGTGCACACTATTTTCTCATCTGTATTCTTTCTTTCAGCATGTGTTTCTTGACAAAGAGACACTGTGCAGAGGGTGACCATACTCTGTAATTTTGAGTCACCATACAAAGAGCGTCGTTCTTCCCCAACAAAATAGAAACCCCTTTGAGTTCACTGCTATTGACTTTTCAATGGATGTCCCAGGATCATTTAAAAAAAATGCACTTGCATCCTAGGAATATATTAGCTGTTAAAAAAGAAAATATTGAAAATGAGTTTAAACAACTCAATTCTCTAAAAAGGTAAAAAAAATATACTTTGGCAAAACTTGGGGCCCACTACTGACAAACAAATGACTGAACGGAGGTGTTCTCTTAATCAAATTGGTGGAGATAGCCTAAAAATTGTGTCTCTTAAGATTGAGGTCATGGGCTTAAGGACAGATTGGAGGCAGGGCTGTGAAACTGACTTGAGGAATAAGAAGCAGGCTTTGCATTATTTGGGAGTGTGTCACTTGATGATATATGATAAGCAGTTTACTTGTTTTACAACTGAAACCCTCTCTTGTCCATGGTCTATTTCCCTTTTGTCCCTTCTGGGTACTAAAGATCTATATTACCCTAATTCCTTTGATCTTTTCTGATGACTTCTTCACCTCTGTTATTTTCTTATTTTCTAAATCATCTATTACTATTACAGTCTTGGGTGATGCCCACAAAATCTCCAGACTAGAAGGGTTGTTAGAAGCCATCCAGTCAATGTTGTCCAAGGATAGGAATATCTTCTACAGTATTTTTGACAAGTGGTCATCTGGGTTCAGTTTGAAAGTGTACTAAAGAAAAGCTCATTACGTCTCAAAATTATGAGAAGGTTGGATTTTTTTCTCCTGAGAAAAGTCACTTAACTACCTTAGCTCCAGTCTCCCAAGGGTTAAAGAACCCTTTGCAGTATAGCAAAATGAAAATGTTGGAGGATTAATCACTGCCTGAAAATACCACACATTTTGTAGATCTTTCCTCTACTTTTCAAATTGGGATGACCCCATTTATTACTCTAGCCTTATAAAATTCACTAGCGTAAAGATTTACTATACCTGATTTTTTTTTAAAGTAACTATACCTACAGAATTTTGTTTTCAAGTGTGTAGAGCAAATACTGTAGTTACACTATTGGATTTGAATCAGAGGATTTTTTTCCTTTTTTTAAAGCTGAAAGGGACCTTATAGAGTAACCCCCTCATTTTATGTATGAGGAAACTGAGGCCTGGGAAAATTATGTAACTTACTAAGGTCACACAAATAGGAATCAACAGACCTCAGATCATACCAATTCATTTTTTAAATTAGTTCTGGAGTCAATCAACATCAATAAATCAATCATCCCAAAGGCATTTATTGGGTCCCTACTATATACTAACTATGCTGTATATAAAAGTATCCAGTGTGGTGCCTATGTCACAAAGATTTAATTTTTTACTAAATAATACATATAATTTTAATGCCTAAAACCTTAGGGATTATCTAGTTCAATGCGCTCTTTGGGTAAATGAGAAAATAAAGAGATTAAGTGACTGGTCCAAGGTGTCTTAGCTTATAGGTGGCAAAGCCACCTCTTGTCTAGCAGACCAGAGCTTTACTCCACTACCTCCCTTGTCTAGACTAGATCTAACCAAAGAATAAGTTATTTCTTGGGAACTTGTCCAGAAGGATCAGAAAACCTCTTCAAAATTATATAAATGGAGAACTAAGAGCAGAGCTCATGAAATGTGAGTTTCTCTTCTTTTGTTTAGCCCAAAGAAGCATTCTTCCATTTCCTTGAGGATTCTATGTCAATGTGGATTTTCACAGAAATTTTCAGGGTAAGACTACATCCACAGGGTAATGCTGGTAAATGTTTAACAATTGGATCTCTGGAAGAAAAAAAAAAGTGTGCACAGCACACCCAAGTGCAATCTTTTGTAATTAATATAGTTCCATAATAACTCTATCACTTTCTTGTGTGTAGATAACTAAACAGTAAATCAAGTCTGATTTGTAGCATTTGCCATTTTCAAGGTGTAAATGATCACACTGAAAATTTAACAACTGGCTCTCTCAAGACAATCTGAGATGGCTCTAACATACCTAGTGTGTACCCATTTCTATTATAGACGTTTTCATGAAAAAATCATATAGTGACCTGAGCAGGTATGAAGAATATGGAGAAGTGAAAATAAAACACAATGATATCTCTATCTGTCTCTGTCCCTTGCTAAATGTAGTTCTTTCTTGGACAAGCCACTTAATCTTTAAACTTATATTCTCTTTCTTTATAATAGGAAAAAAAAAGTTTTGTCTAATGAAGTGTTTTGAGATCTTTAAAATCAATGTCACAATCCACAAATAAAATAATGAGCAAAATAACGTAAGTAAAACTGGATATAGTTATATTCTTAGACCTTAAGAGATTATTATCTTGATCAAACCTCTCATTTTACATATGAGGTAACAGCATTCTCCTATGTCAGAGTAGTTTTCCTAATCTCATACTTCTAGTTAATGTTAATATTTGGGCTAGAACATGTGTCCTGTTTCCTAGTTCCTAGTCTAGTGCTCTTTCTACCATTTTATTTTCCAGTCAATCCAAACCAACAAGCATTTATTAAGCACTGACTATGTGAAAGGTATTAGGGATACAAAGATAGAAATTAAAAACAACCATTCTTGCCCACAAGAGACTTAAATTCTGCTTACATTCCCCTGCATAGAAATTTGGTAACTCTAGGTACATCTTCTCTCTTCCCATGTTATAACAGGTATGTAAGGGTCCATGGGCACTTTGTCCTCCCAGTTCTGTGGCCAAAGACAGTAGTGTTGTTTTTGTTTGACCTTTTAGTGCCTATGAAAGCCATGTATTAAAGTCGTGACTGTCTAGACTGTTCGGGAATGGCTGTCTAGACTATCAGGGGAGAGAGATTGATCCTTCCTTGGAGTCTTATATAAACATAGCTCCCAGGGAGAATATGGAAAAGGGACTATGAAGTGGAATCCTCCCTGCTCTTCTATGCTTGGAGAACATGAATTCCCTGGCCTCTATGGAAGAATTGAGCTAAACGGTATTGATGTTTCCTCTCGTGCAATTTTCAAACTGTATCCATGTCAGCACTGTGTTATTCATTCATTTGTTTATCTTGCCAAAACATTGAAGTTTGTGAAATAGCCTTGAGCTCAGTGATGGGATAGTATAACATGAAAGGAAGTTGTGGCTTGATCTCAAGCAGAGAGAAAAAGACTTTCCTCTTCATTGTAAAATTCTTTCTTTATTTACTGCCCAGTGGACTGTGTTGCATGACAGTTGCATAGCAACAAAATAAAGTTTGTCTGTTTAAGGAAACCTGAATGTTTCTCATAGCATAAAGACAGCAAATGCTTTCTGTTTACTCAACTTATATTTGCTACAATGTGGACTGTGTCACATGTCAATTATGGAACAACAACAGAATGATAGTTTATTTTAGATAATATAAATGTTACTCAAAAGATAGAGAAGGATGATATCGCATGTTTACATGTTGGAGACTATTTCTATGGTTTAAAAGATGTGATTTCCTGTCCTTATCCCAATCCTACTTGAGCAATAGGCACCTTCCTTCCTCTGTGCTCTGATGGTCCATGCTTAGGGAAAAAGAAAGCTTATCATTGCTTAATTAACTGTTATTCTTTTCTAATAAAATAATGAATTTATTCATTAATGTATACATACTTTCACACTCAAATTTTCTGAGATGTAAAAACAAAAGATTAAAAACAACCTATTAAAATGGTCAAAATAAACCCTAGGATTTGATGAGTAATAAAATTGCATTTCCCTTTCTAACTACCGAGAACAGAACAATATGTCCTCACAACCTAGATCTGTACCTGCAGTCTCTGACCACACTGGATGTCTAGAAAATCATCCACAAGACTTACTTGACAGGTATTAAATCATGTCCTATACTTGCAGCTTGGACTACTTTATAGGAAAAATCAGTTGCCTGTAAAGGTAAACCCTTGAAGTTAGTATATTTGTGAAAAATGATAGTTTTTGGGGCAGCTTGGTGGCACAGTGGATAGAGTACCGGCCCTGAAATAAGGAGGACCTGAATTCAAATCTGACCTCAGACCGAACACTTGACACTTACTAGCTCTATGACCCTAGGCAAGTCACTTAACCCCAATTGCCTGAAAAAAAATGATAGTTTTCTCCATTTTCTTCAGTCATCATTATTCCTATGTAATATATTCAATATTTGATGTAGTACATTCAAATATCTAGTTTATCAATTATCTAGTTATCTAGTTTAATTTATTACATATATTTAGAAAGGCAAAAATGTGATCTCATGGACTCCTGAACTAGGAATCAAGATATTACTATATCTTGAGTAAATCATCTAACCTCTCTGTGAAGTAAATTTCTCATATATAAAATGAGTATATTATAGTTCATCTGATTTCCTTGGCATGGAATATTGCAGTGATATAATGTAATTATATACAAGGGAGTACTTTAAATTATTTGGAAGGAAAGTACTCTATCAATTTAGAGTAGTAATATTTATTTTCATTAACTCTTATAGATCATGAGAAGATCATTTAGTATAAAAATCAAGACCCTAATACTGTGAAAGAATTAACAGACTTCACCAAGGGCAACATATTTGCTAAGTGCTTGGACCAATGGCAGTAATAGCATTTTCTAAATGGTGGTAGGAAATCAGTAAGAGCATTTCCTGACTCATCTTTATTATTGTCTGGGTTCTGCTGCCCATGTTTCATTTATGCCAAAAAGGAAAATAGGCAAGAAGGCCCAAGTGAAAAATGACTCTTTTTCACTTTCCTTAAACCTTTGATACTTTGATACTCTAGTAGTTTGATCCATTCTTTCATTGATGTCAGTATTTCCTCCAACAGTTCACATTGCAACCCTATTTTATCTCTTCATCCATGCTATTGTCTTCCACAGACAGTCTATTCAATCAGCTGGAGGCCTTCCTCTACCTATTTTAATATTTCACAGATACCAGTGCAATACTTGAGTGCTGGTTGGTGCTCCCTTGTGTGTCCTTTGTCCCCTTGATTAATAATAATCTTAGATTCTCTGATTTTGACACTTTTTGTCAAATATGTTTTACATGCATAGAGAATTTCTGAATTATTGGCAGATGGGCAAATGGATGCAATGTACATCACTATGGACATCAGTGGACATCAACTATCTTTATTTACCTTAGTTTAACGGTGCTTTGTAAGAGCAAAGGAAAAGACCAAATTATTTGGTGATTTGTTTCATGGTTTTATTTTTAAAGTGATTTGACTGAATCTAAAATAAAGGTTTATCCATAAAAAAAGCTATTTTTGACATGAACCCGGCATAGATTACAATATAACATTTCCATATAAATGATACAGAAATTTGTGTTTAGTGAATGATCCAAAATAATAATAAGAATTCAATTCTTGTACTTCTTTAAGTGGTTGATTATGCATGGCAGTAGAGGACAGGTTAACGTACATATACAAGATTGTCCATGAGACACCAGATGACAGGTTAAAAAGTGAAAAATTACATCAGCTGGTAACTTTGCTTCTTCTATTCTGCTCAGCTGGTTTGGCTGATGCGTTCCACTGAATTGACCAGATGTTTTGCTGTCACGTAAACCTAGCCTAAAAGAAATTCACAAATTATCCCCAAACCTCATTTTAGACAAATACTTCAACTTTCTTCACTCAGCTTTTTTTTTTTAACCAGGGCTGCTAACAATTAAGCCAAAATGTTTAGTTTAAATTTTATCTCTTTTCCCTTCTCCTACCCACCTTCTCATGCAAAGCCTTGCCTGCCCAAAGGCAGGCTGTGAAAGTAAAAGAAACAAAGGTCTTGGAAAATCCATAAGCTGGCTAATCAGAAAGCGAATAATTGAGAATTTACTTAAGTAAACTAAATGAATAGGGGCCCCAGAGTCATTAGTTGTGATCCCAGAGTCCAACCTGATTGATCATGAAATGTGGTTTTCTCACACAGACACACACATGCACACTCCTCCACCCCTTGCGAGTATTTTTAGGAGAAAGATGAAATTCATCTGGAAGGTACCACAGTGCCTCCTTTTTTACCTGAAGTGCCTCTTGATTGACAGCTCATAAGGACATATTTCTCCCCATCCCAACACTCCTAGTGACAACACCATTAGCAAGCCTTTGCATTTCTCATTTACTCATAAACCTGTCAACAGATTCCTTGATTTCAAATTAGTGAAACATAGCCTCTGACCACACACGGTTTTAAGAACCCCTGTTTTAAAGTATAATTAATGCATTTAGTACTAATCACCAATTTATTTCCAATGTATTTACTGGAAGATAGGTTTCATTTCTTTTTGTGACTTAGAACCGTCACTGTGGCTCTTAGTGGAGTGAGGAAAAAAAAAAAGAGCCCAGTGGAGTATGGAGGCAAAAGAGAATGCAGGTAGTAGGACTGTTCTTATTTACTGAACACTACCCTGAGAGAGCCTTTCACCTTGGTGAGGGCCACAGGGGCAAGGTCAGCTGACAGCGTGGAACACTTTCATCTAGGGCATTGTATCCAGGGCATTTAGAGAAAGTCGACAGAATGAAGGTCATTGATGTGTCTTGGACAAAGCTGGCTATTATAATCTTTAGATCTGAGAGAGATTTTATCTGAATAAAAAGCTATCAGGGGAGACCTGGAAGCATGAATAGGCACTGCAGAAGAAGCAGTAAGGCCTCCTGGGCATGTTCTTTGTGCCTGGGCATGGCTATGTGTTCTGCTGATTGCCCTCCCTTTCAGGATGGTGTCAGGGGACTCGTAGTGTGTATCCCTGAGGCCTATGCCTAAGAGGAGATGTGTTGAAAAACTTTACCCAGGTCAGCAAATGCTGCACCATCAAGAACATATTATTCTGCCCCCTCCCTCCGCCACTTAATAGGATTTTTATTTTTTTCCAATTACATGTAAAGTTTTCAACATTAACTTTTATAAGATTTTGAGTTCCAAATTTTTCTCCTTCTCACCCTTGCCCCTCCCCAAGACAGCAAGCAATCTGATATAGGTTATACATGTACAATTATATTAGTCATATTTCCACATAAGTCATGTTGTGAAAGAAGAATCAGAACAAAAGGGAAAAACCATGAGAAAGAAAAAACAACAATAAAGACAAAAAAAAGTGAAAATAGTATGCTTTGATCTGCA